CAGGCAGAGCCTTAAACATTTCAGGCAGTGATCTTCAAAAGCAGAGAGTGCATGTAATTCCCTCCCCAATTCACGAGAACTGACTTCAGGAACTCGGGAGCTATTCTGGAGCAAGAGAGAGCCACAGTTGAGTCAACAGCATGAGCTCACTCGCAGCACACGCTGTGTCCAACACACGTGCACGTACCTGCCGCTTTGTTCTGCCCCTACAACATCTGTAAAACTGTTTGTACGCTTGGGCAAAGTGCTGATGTCTGCTGAAACGCCGACATCTCCTCGGGTACACAGGGCTTGGTTTGAGCGTGCTGCTCTTTTTGTAGTTCAACTTTTCAGCTGCAAAAGGATCCTGAATTAAATTACTGCTCCAGGATGTCAACAGCTTTGTTTTAGGGACTTCTAAACTCGTGCTGGAGAATCTCTAACACGATTCTTGAACATCAGGTAAGAGAACACGTGATTTCGGTACTCCATGAGAAAACAACTGAACCCTCAGTCCTTGGGCAAAACTTTTCCCAGAATATTTATCAAGTGGGTCTGTAGCAAAAGGAATAAATGCACCCTGCAGTCTGGACACTACTGCCTGTGAATAAACTCAGAACCTCTGCACACCTACCCTGGGACTCAAACTGTTAACAAACAGAGGTTACTACTGCCAGGAGACAGGACTTGAGGACACAGAGTGATCCACATCCCAGCTCTGCTCCTGCAGCCTCAGGCCACAAAGCACAGCCACCCTGGGCAGCACCTCAAACCTCTCAGCTGCCCTACAGCTCTGTCAGTGCTGTGCTCTTCCACTTTCAGCAATTCTGGTCCTTTGATTCAGCTGCACACTTGACCTGGCTAAACCTTCCTCCAGCTGAGCGAGCTGCGTGTTGTGGCAGCGCTGGCTTGGGAGGCATTGTGAAATAAAGTGGGAGGCCTCCTGTGCTCATTTGTGTGTCAGCATTCTGTGTACCCAGAATGCTGCTCCTAGCTCCCAGCTACTTCATCGAAGTGCTGCTGGGACTGGAACCGTGGGAACAGTGCAGCGCTGGTGTGTGGGTGTGCTCACACGCGTGCACGGAGAGCTCTGGGCTCTGAGCACAGCATCTGCAGCTCAGGGCACAGCTGGCTCTGGCACACAGGTAGGGAAGGGGAAATGCTGTCAAACGTCGCTCGGCTCAGGATGGAAAACAGAGCGTGGAGAAGAGAGAGTCAAACCACCCTCCTCTTCTGGAAATAGCAACCAACAAAGCCTTCAGGCCTGCTCTGGAGCTAACTCAGTCCTCGTGGAGACATCCTGATGCGCAGCAAGCAGAGAGCTCTGTCACAGCAGTGAGACACACCAAGGCCACATCTCCCCCAGCAGCAGAACACACGGCGCACCGGCGGCCGAGCTCCACAGAAAGGCTCTGGCACTGAGCACGGATTTCTAGGACCCTGTTTTGCAACCCTGTCAGGTTATTCACACTTTAAATTTCTAGAAATAGCCCAGAATGGAATGGTTGTGCTCCATGCCAGTCATGGTGGATGGAATGAGAGACAGGTAGGGAACAAGACACCCACACAAGTAAGAGCTGTGTCGGTGCACGATGAACAACCAGAGGGAGAGAAAGCAAAGCAGAAAATATCCTGCATGGAAATCCACATGGAAAACCCAATGAAGGATGCACAGTAAAATGAAGAAGTTATCATATGGCTCAAGAAAAGAAAGAGCTTTGGGAAGTGGCAGAAGGTGAAAGAGTTTACGGGAGGTCAATCACTCGTGGAAGCATCACCAGGGAGAGGATATAACCCCAACATTTCAGAGGAAGGTAAGGAGAGTGTCTGAGGCCTCTGTGGTCCCTGCTGCAGTGGGGGCTCCTCACAACACCCTCTGGTTTTCCACTTCACACAGATCTAGACAAAAGCTTCTTCTGCAAGTGGCCAGACTAAGCCACAGGAGTGTGGTCCAACAAACCCAACTGACCAAGAGACAACACATCTCATCTCCTTATCCATCTCCTGGTACAGATGGACAGATGAGCACAACAGACACTTGATGTACATAGATATATATTGGGAATGAAGGAGCTAGGAAAAGCTTTAAAACCACACCAAGGAAAAAAAGGGAAAGGAAAAAAACAAGCGAGAGAGAGGAAAAAAGGCAGTTTTGTCACTGTGCTGAATCTGCCACAAGGGCTTGTGCCAACCCAGCTCCTCCATTTAAGTCAGACTCTTAAAAGGCAGAGCTGTGCTGGCAGAAATCTACAGACCTCATCACAGAAACCTCATGGAGACACACGAAAAGGTCAAAAAACTCACTGCTGCTCCAACAGCCACAAACTGGTCATATGCATCCCATGCTACCAACATGCTAACCGAGCCCCAGGGAAACCCAGACACAAAGCCATGTGTGTACACACACACACGTGAATAAATGCACTGAGAAACTGCCAAAAAGGGCACTCCTGAGAGCAGAAAAGCCACGATCTGACACAGCAGCTTAGGCACACCTCTGTAGAGCCAGAACAAAGCCAAGCTGAGATCTACATCAAAAAGGAAGCCCACCACAAAGACACATGTGCTTCACCCTTTCATCCCCAGAGCCCCACGAAATTAACACACACACGGGATGGGACCATCCTCTCACTTCCTCGCCAGGCAGCTAAACTTTACTCCAGTGTTACTTGCCCCTGGCCACAGTCTCCCAGTCTTGGAGCCTGATTAAATCTCTCCGTAATTATCTGCACACACTGCTACAGCACAAATGACCTTAGCATATGATATCCGTTGGCTAAGCCCGATGGAAAAAGACTTCAGGAAAAGGAAGGATAAGCGTACAAAACTCTGCCAGCACTGTCAGGGTCTCCTCAGGACTGCACCACGTTCAAAGGAGAGCCCTGAAACTCATGCCCAGTTCTGCAGAGGATGTGTGATAAACCACTGTTGTCTCTGCCCCATGGTCTGACCACACTCACCACTCCGCTCTGCCCCACCAAACCCTTGCCACCTCCCACACGAAGCTGTGCAGGAGACTTAACACTTTGTGAGGATGGATTTCTGGCAAAATCTTCAGAGAAATAGATGGCCACCATTTGCTTACTGAGTTTTTGGCGTTCGCTGTCAGGAGCCCCGAGCTCACTCTGCAAGCAGTGCTGCACCCCATGCAGGTTGTGGAGGGTGGGGGAAGTGTTCCTCAGGTTCTGAGCTATGAAAGGGTCACCAAAACACTGAGGCAAAGCCGAGATTTACTAATCTTTTCTTGTTCTCCATCTGCGACCTCACCGGGGCGTGGATAAATCACACAACTGCAGAGAATGCCCAAAGAGCCTTGTAAGAACAGAAAAGCATTAACTACTAACACTGATTTTAACTAGACTCTGGGAATGACCAAGCTAGAGGCACAGCACCTTCCTGGAGAAAGACTGTGGAGGTCTCTTCATTTTGCTTCCCAAATGCAGATGCCCTGGAAAATCCATCTCCCACCATGAAAAACATCTCAGCTTGGAGAGCCGCGTTCTCCTCTCACATCCACGTACATCTACCCCACCATTCCATCTCAGCACATGACTGACGGAGAATAGACAAGCCATTAAAAACACATCCACCTCCAACCACGGGGATAATGTGCCTCATTACAGCTCAGCTTTGTCACCGCGCTCTGACACTCCGGGGAGGAAAAGGAGGGGTGAGGACAAGGACTGAAACGGGAGCTGAGCACAAGGCCAGGAGAGAAACTGCAACTTGGAGCCTGTGCTCCTTCATCCAAAAGCTCGGTCAGATGTGTTCGCTAGGCCTCTGAGGGTGTGGGAATCGCTGTGCTGTTTGCACAGTGCATTTTAAAAATAATGCGTCTCGTTTGGGTGGTTTTGTTGTGGTTTTGTTATAAATAAAAGCTCTACTTTAGTCAGAGTGTGTGTCTGCCCCTTTAAACAGGTATTCGGTGAGATAACTCAGAATTTACTCAACACTTTAAACAACACTTCTCTTTTTGAGGCTCGTGCATTGCCCTTCCACTCCAGACACACAAACCCGAGGCAAAGTTTCGGAATCTGAGGCAGAATCCAACCACCAACCCTGCACTGGGAAGCTGAGGAGGAGAGGGATTGCCTTGGCCTGACACCGGGGGAAGGAGCAGAGGTGAACTGCTCACCCCCAGCCAGTTGCACCCTCGCCAGACAGACAGACAGACAGACAGACAGACAGACAGACATCCTGGTGTCTGAGAGTCCTCAAGGCCTCGTGGCACTGCTGCCCAGGGAGCAGGACTGGTGCCAGATGCCAAGGCAGCCTCCCACCCACACACCAGGGATTCTGGGATCTAAAGGCAGCTCAGACTGAAAGAACAACAAGAGACACCTAAAAAAATGTGCCTAGGCTGTCTGGCTCAGCACTGCACGGCGTGGCATACCTTAAAAGCTGCTGCACTGGCCCTAGACACTGGCTGGGTGTATTCATAACCCAATCTACAAAAGCCTGTCTGGGGGGGGAATTCAGGCTCCACAGGGATGCTCTAAAAGCAGGGAATGCTCCATCCACGTTCTGCACACTTCATCTGAAAACCAGGAACCTGCGTTACTGCCACGATTTTCCCCCTAACAGCCATATTTTATTTTCCACACAAGCCATTTATCCCCCACCTCCATCCCTGGCAACACACCATCCATCACAAAAGTCTATGCACTTGTGTCTGGAGCCAACAGAACCTGCTCCTTTTTTCTGGCTCCTTGTCTCGACCCCTAACTGAAGCCCCTAAGAGCCAGAATCACATACTCCCAGATGAAGTCTGGGCAGCGTGATGGGCTCCAGAGATCAGGGTTCACCATAGGCAAACACAACATGCCATTGAAACAAACTCCAACTCGCTGTTCTGAACACCACCAGAGAAACAGAGGTGCCATCTCGAGCACGGGGAGAAAGGAGAACACCATTCAAATCGCGACATGACTCAAAGGAGAAGCAGCTGGCAGCAAACTGCATGATGTATCGATGAATGCTACCGAAATTCCCCCCACCCCCTCTGAGATGTCAGGCATCACTTACCCTGGGGGCTTTCCTCTTGTATTTGTTGTTATAGTCAAATTTTTCTTTCATTTCATCTAAGAGCTGGCCCAGTCTAGCTTTCTCCTCTTTCCCAGTATAATCCTGGCTGAGGAGGATATAGGATCTCCAGTTTGCAGAGTCAAAGCCCCAGTGGCAAGTCCTGTTTTCCAGCGATTTGTGAGAGTGGACCACAAATTTGTGAGGTGGGTACATGAGCCTGCAGTCCAAGCACTGGATGCAGGCTGCACTGGGGTTACTGTAAAGCTCTGGCACCAAGAGTCCCTTACACTTCCCAAAGCACTCGTGATACACCTTGAAGCTCTTCTCTGTAAGCTCCAGCTCAATGGTGCTGGAGAATTCCTTCTTGCAGTGGGGAGGATAGGTGCCACCATAAAGCAAGGCGTTACAGAGCCTCTCGGCATCAGTTTTCGTGATGAGCCCGCAGGAAGGAGCAGAGAAGGGCAGGATGCCCATGACTTTGAGGATTTCCAGCTGGTCAGCAGTGCATCTGGAGCAGTAAATATGTAGCTCATCACACACCGAATTAATCTGCTGCAGGGAGAAGTCCCTGAGCACCGAGTTCAGGATCTGGGGCAAGCAAAGCCGCTTCTCTCCACCCACCACGAAGCAGGAGATGGTTTCCCCTTCCAGGATGGTCTCGCACCTCTCCGTGGATCTGTCCGAGGGCATGAAGAAGGGACCAGGCATGACCGGAGGGGGCTGGATCGGGGGCAGATGCAGTACAGGTTCCGCTGGGTCCTTGCCATTGTCTTTCTTGTACATCTCCTGTGCCCATCGTGCAGAGAAAGCAGCAGGGCCACCCAGGGAGCTCATAGAGCTCAGATGAAACTGTTCCAAGGTCTTCTGCAGTCCTGGATGAGGCTGGAAGCTGCTTCTACTTACAGTCTCCATTTTTTAGTTTCTATTCCCAAAACAAACAACAAAAATCCCCAGTTATCTTCCACCCTGGTACAAATCCACTTAAGGGATTTTTTTTAAGAAAAAAAATATGAACAAAATAAACCCACCCTTGTTGGTTTTTTTCCTCCTTCCCACTCAGCTTTAAGAATCCACTAACGAATAGGAAATAAATCCTTTTGTATGCGTGTCTCTCTCTTCTTTCTTTTCTCTTGGCTCGTTACGGTTTCAAACCCTCCAAGTCTCCAAGCTGCCCCGATGGAGCACAGAATCACGGCAAAAAGAGGTCTTCATCCGAGCACTCACCCCCTCATCCAACCCCCCAGGCAAACCGATCCCTCCTCCCACACCTCCACCACACTCACTCACACACTCACTCACACTCACACACACACACACCACCCACGGAAACACAAAAAAGTCTGTGCCACGCTCCGAGCACCCGCGGATCAAATATGCTCTGGCGGCTGCTGCTTCTCTGCAGTAATCACCCTCCTGTCCATATCCACCAAAGGCAGGCGCGGGGGAGGAAAGTAAAAAGCAGGAGGAGGAAGAAAGCCTGTCGTGTG